GAATCACACCAAGGACCAAATAAATTCACACGCAAAGCATACACGTCAGCAGTATACATTCAAAGAGGATCGAATAACGAAGGATCAAACATAAAAAAGCCTACAGTTGAACATCCATAAGCTAGATACCAAATATTAAGTCAAAGTCCTGCATTCTCTCTGCATGATACAACACACAACATATTTAATTATTTATTTATTTTACATATGAAGTATTCTTATTTAAAAAAAACAGAGATAATTACATCATAATGCTTTTTTCTATACATATAATTATTATTAAACACTTTCGACATAATTGTATTTTTTTTTTATAAATGTGCTTATATTGTATCATGGTGGCTATATCTCACAATACATACTTTTCAGTGGAATGTATTATATGTACATGCAAAGTGTCTTGCAAACTGTATTGTATTTCATTTTCACATGACTTCTCCAACAAATGCGTAGAGAAGAACAATGGGTATGCTCTCTTTTAAGAAACTTCAATTTAGCAAACATAAACGTGGAATAAGAAAGTAACAAAGAAGGATGAGAGAAGCCAGAGAAGTAACTGAATCTTAACACGACAAATGGAACAAGAGAAAGAGAGGAGACCAGACGTGAAAATTCAAGCGATAAGAAGCAGGTGTAGGGTGGAAGCAAATGGATGGAAGGAAAAGAAAGAGGTGAGGAGGGGAGGGGGGGGGGGGGGGGGGGGGTGAGAAAAGTCAATCCTCCCACGTCACTCGATTTTTTTGCTCATTGTGCAGGTTTTCTCTGCTCTTATTTCCAAACAGAGCGCTTTTTAATAATTCTGGACCGTACCGACTTCTCTTATCGCAGACAGAACTAAACATTTGAAAACCTTAAGTGACTAGATGCTATATTATGATATTGTAGACCATTAGGACCATACCTATATAAGGCATATTTATACTTTTTATTTTTCAAAATACCAAACAGATCATGCATTTTAGCCATTCCTCATTTCGCTCAATTTAACACTGCCTTTGCATGGGCTGATTCTGTGAGAACAGCACCATCTACAGGCCTGGCATATGTACTACAGCGTCTCCAGCGCTTTCCAACGGCAATGTCCGTGGCTGTCTCCTCCTGATTGGTGGAGTTGGCCCAATAGCTGTAGCGCCACTTCTGTGACGTCACAGAAGTGTTCAAATCTGGATCAGTCTGTATAAGATCCGTTGCAGCCCCTTTTTTAGAGATTTGGGTATGGAGGAAAATAGAGAGGGTTGTGTTTTCTGACACTTGGTGAGTTCCCTGGAACACCGGGGACACATATTCATGTATACAAGACGTACAAAAGTGCATTTTGCATGATAGGTCACCTTTAAGTTATCAGCTGTTACTATAAGTTAAAAGTCGAAACATCAAAATAAAGTAATAACATCCCTCCTGCTGTGTCCCAAAACATAGCAAGACTCTACCATGGTATTTGCTTGGCAGTATTTTAACTCAATCCTTGTGAGACGTCATATTTGTATTTTTGAGTTACCTTGCGGTCTGCAGCATCATGACTGTGTTCTCTCCCTCGTAGGTGCATGCAGGGGTGAACTCGACGTAAATGTCTGGCAAGGCGCTGCTGCGGGAGTAGCCGTGGCCGCCACATGACATGCGGCAAACCTCGATGCCAGCGTTGGTGGTCCACGTGGTAAAGGCCTTCAGGCCGGCAGACAGGGCATGGAGCTGTAGATATGAGAGTAAAGAGGATGAGAAGAACATCATTCAAACTTGGGTGCCGTGTAAACAACATCAATTTACAGTATGTTAATGTATGACTGTATGAATGTATGATAAGCTATGAATGGTCCTGGCTAGAATACTAGAAACATTCAGTGATGGCTATGGGGTAAACATTCATATGCCTATATATAATAGTTGTTACTGCACAATTAAATGAACAATAAGAAGTTGTAGTTCTTATTTACCACAATAAAATAGTGACAGCTTTTAAAAGCATTACTTTTGGAAATGTTTTTATTTGTATATTCTTTTCATATTTATTTGATCAAATTAATGTTATTGTCTGTTCTTATTCTTTGCTCCATTATTTTTTATTATGGTAATTTGATGTGCCCATTTCCGTTTGTGACGTTTTTTGTAACATTGTGAAGATATGCGCTACTTAATATGCTTAAATTAATAAAATGCAAACAAACAAACTTGTCAACCACACAGAGAGGGCGATTGAAGCCTGTGTAATCAGAAGAATAACTTTAGTATTTTATTTGAGGAACATTTTACGCTAAATTACCAAGCTTGCATTGATGTCAGTAACAAATCTGAAACTGTTGGCTTAAACTATGGCTTGCACCATAGACACACAACACATACAGCTGGAGGCACTGACACTGACCTCAGTCAATATGCATCCTCCACAATAAAACCTAGTGTACACCTTACATGTTCACGTTTAGTCAGTACCTCAGGCAGTTGACTGAAGTCCCCATCGCTGATGTCTCCACTGATGCGTTGGTAGGTCTCTCTCATGTACTGTCCGACAAAAGTGAAGGCATAGGCCGTGGCAAGCAGAGGAAACAGCTTGTACTGCTGCGTCTGGTAATCCAGGATCTGAGGCTCTGGCTCTCTGTGGGATAAAAAACACCAGTTTGACCTCTGAGTATCTCAAATAAAGGTTTTACTTCCCTTTTATACAGGAGGATGTGGTTAAAATCCTGATAAATGACATGTGCTATTTCCATTTCCTGTTGGAAAAACTTCGCCAATATGAACCTCTGACATAAACCAGCATGACTAATGTGAATTTCCAGTGCCTTTAAGGGAAATCAAATGTTGACCTTGCGCATGAGTTGGTTTTTTCTTGCTGTTTCTATGAGTGATGCAATGTGTGTGCAGCTGAAGTGCCTTCATGCATTCATTTGTGTCGACTGACCCGGCCCGGATCTCAGACTGGTGTCGGACGGAGCTGTAGCGGATGGCGATGATGGAGGCTTTGGAGAGAGCCCGAGCAGACTCGCCTACGATTAAGGAGCGGATGAACACCATGGTGCCGTAGGTCAGCTTGGCACTCGGGGGCTTCAAATATGTCCCATCTGGCTCCACCTAGTGGTGAGACAGAGTCACTCTTACTTCAGGAGTCCCACATTGAATATACAGTGCTCTAGATACACACGTTTATTTTTACACGCTTGGATAAAAGAAATGCAGTTTAATACACCAGTTCAGGATTAATGTACTATGTATGTATTGGTGTTTCTGTTTGAAACAGGTTCTCCAATTATCTTCCAGCTGTATAAAGCTGAATCAGGTGCTCCTCAGTGAGAGGACAGAAAACGTAAAGGGGAAAGAAGACGCTGGAGCACACTTAATGATATGCAGACTTTAACTATGCAACCAGTCTAAATGTAAAACTACTGTGTCTTCATCAGAGGCAAGGTGTATGGTTTTGGCCACTCTATTCACATCAATTAGTTAAGCTGAATCTTCAACTAAAAAACTCAACCAAAAATCAACTCAAAGGACATCCTCTAAATACTGTCACAATGCAATTATGACATTTAAGGACAGGTGGTTTTGCTGAGCAAAGGGAAAGTGCAATACACTTTCTGTAATTGTATACAGCATGAACAATGGTAGAGTATGTCCCTTATTCCTTCATTCATTCATTCCAAAAAACGTGTCTAATCACCTTGGCGTATTTCATAAGCATGTTGTCTCGCGGGAGTCGCACGTTCTCTAGTTTTAGAAATCCGTTGTCAACTTCACTGAAGCCAAACTTGGGACCGATATCTCCGACCACAATACCTAAAAGAGAAGAAGAGCAAAACAAAGTAAGTCCGAGACATAGAGGTGAATGAGGACTGACTTCACCACAACACCAGATCCAGAGAGACGGTGGTTACCTGGCAGCGGTATGTGTGTGCTCATGTCGCGGATGGGTACGATGAAAGCATGAATACCGTGGCAGTTTCCCAGGGTATGAAGCTGGGCTAGAACTATAGCATGGTTTGAAGTCTTACCAACTGGAAAGAGACAGAGTTAGAGGGTTAAAGCTAGTTTGTTCTGAATGTCACAAGGTTTTCTTATCCTGGAAGAAAACAACTATAAATCATTGTGAAACCTTGAGGGAAAGGGAAATACATATTCCTTATGCTGCCAGGGATTCTGATAATATGCCATTCAAGGCTGGGAAATGACTGTTGGTTGAATCCTGCAGAGACATGCAGGTGTCTAAGTACTTACGTCCTCCTGGCCACCATTTGATGGAGCTGATTGTGGGACTGTTCAACACAAACTCCTGTGTGGCTGGGTCGTACGTGGCCGTGGTCTCCAGCCCGCGGAGGTGTGTGCCTAGAGAGACAAAACATCAAACCCCACCAAGCACACACATACAGAGTGCATAGTTGAAGAGCAAAAATTAATTTAAAAGACATACAACAGAATAAATATATGAACAGAAAACATGTTAAATATTAAAAATGCATAATAGAAACTTTCCATGAAAAATCAAGTGGATGAAAACAACATAAAAAGGAGCATAGCAGTGCACTTTGTAGGTGTTTGACAGATCTAAATGTGTATATTATATAAATATACTAACACATATCTCATGCAGTTTGTTTGATTACCTTAGAATTAACACAAAGAAAGTAGGTCTCGATGAGCTACACTGGAAAATGTTAAATGTTAAAAACAAACAACGATCTAAGATTATTAGTTAAGGACAGTTCTGTGTAATACACGGGGGAAGGGTTAGGGTTTAAGAGCAACAGGTGGCCTGTCTAAAAGGGCAGGGAGTGTGACTATCGCAGAGGTTTGGGCATGCAGAAGAAACTTTTGATAACTTGTGGGAAGCCAGGGCTTTACTAAAAGTCATTTATTTGACATACTAAACTTTAAATTACGTTTCTTCCAACTTCCCGTCTCGACCAAATTTAGTTGTATCTTACAGAGAAGATGGGACAATATGATGAAAAATATGTGAAAAACAAGTCAGAAATAAACCTTCTCAGACCTTTTAGTATGTTTTGTACTAATATTGGTGCCAATTAGGTCAACATTTTTTAATGAAATATGAGGAGAATCACAGTCTTCGAAATAAAGCACAAGTCTGTTGTGTATTAAAAGGGGAAATGTGTAAGAAATGGCCAGGCTAATTGTTTAAAAACTTTAAATAGCGATCCAACATCATGAATAGAATTTAAAGATGCTACAGTGTTGACTCTCCGACCGGAGGCAGTCGCACTTTTTTCCAGAGCTTAAGATACAAATGTGCCGTATTCTTGCCAAGCTGTTAATAAGATTGTTAAATTAAAAAGTAGTTTTAAAAGTTGATGCCGGTAATTTTAGAAAGTCTGGACCCAAAAGTAAAGATGAAATGATACACCTATTGGTTTTTCCAGGATCAGAGCACATTGCCCCTCTAAAGAACGGGACTAAACGGATCCGATATTTTGGACTGCTCTGGTCATTTTACCGTGGCCCATCTCTGTCTGTGCGTAGGTGCCGATGATCTCTAGGTTCCAGGCAGGCATGAAGAAACGGTCCATTTGCTCTGGGGTGGCCTGGTTGAGCAGTGTGGGCAGGAACATCCCCAGGTGGAGATCCAAGGGCTCGGCCCTGTCTGGGTGAACACATCTAGGCCACGCAGCAGAGGGGCAAACGGAAGAGAAAAGCAGGTGGTGAAAGGTGGTGAAAGGGGCAAAGAGGGAAGTGCATAGGGAAGGTTTGAGCAATGTTTTGAACCATGCAAAGAGTGTATGAATGAGGAGAGAATATTGGAGCAAGTATTTTCAAGAACCCACAGAACAGATTTTTTGATAAGAATTGATATGGTCAAAATGAAGAAGCAGTGATGGAAGATATAAAGACAGAGTTTGTGATAGCAAGCAGCGAAAAGGCAGATTTGAAAAATTAAAACAGCTTGTGATAATATCATGCACATTGATTTGATCATTATGTTCATTATTTGGCTCAACATTTGTCTTCAGTAGCTGCAGCAATAAAGTTCCCCTGTCACATTAGAGCTTAAACACCTCTGCTATGCAAGCCACTGTCTCAGCCAGTTAGAAGCACGCAGTCTGACCATTAGCTGCTCAAATCAAAGCACCATTGAAAAGAGGTTTACTGAAATTACTTTATGGGACATTTACTGACGCCACCTTCTGCTCAAGGATATCGGAATGGGCATTGTTCGCTCTTTTTATTTTTTTTTATAGACCAAACTATTAACAAAGAAATGAGCAGATTCATTGATAAGGAAAGCAGTCTTGAGTTGTGGCCTTACAAACGTTGCAGAGGGAACATAGGTTTACAACATCAATGATACTCAAATGATACTATAAGGACTTGGCCCAAACCGACACAAACACTTGATCAAAGTGTTCATTAAAGATGGAGACAGCCGTTATAAACTTTCAGTGTAGGTTTGCATGGATGAAATACTAATTCACTAGACAACAGCTTGACTTCAGCAAGGCAACAAACAATAGCTGTGGTGGCCTAGATTCTCTCAGATTACAAAGACACATTCATCCCGAACTCGGTCTCATTAAAAGGATCCACCACCACATATTGAGCAGCACGTGACGTAGCTTCTCCTACTTCTGATGTGAGATACATGAAAAGCAGAACAAAATGACCAGTTTCCAGTCTGCACTAGCTACGGTCAAACGGAACCAGCTTTTTTGGCCACTCAAGATATAGCCAAAATATAAACAGAATTTCATTGGAAACTCATTTCACTTGCCAAGTGACTGAAAGTAATTAAGACACAGCAATTAAATTCACACAAGATTCACCATTAGAGCGTTATCATAAAGATGGAATAAAGGAGGTGTGGGTAGGAAATCAGTGGCACTAGCTAATGCAGATGGGAATATGTGTTGGAAAAGACCGGACAAAGCTACGTTATTTTGTTTTTACGACAATTAAGGTGTAAGGGACAGACACTTATGGAGTGATATTAGTAAACCAGCTATATATACAAAACTAGCCACAAATAATCTGTTGTTGGAACAAAATGAAGTATACGAACACAGCTGTCAGTACACGCATGCGGTTACTTTGGAATTTCCTACATGATTTGGACATGTCAAACACATACAAGAAATCACCTTAAATTCTCCTGGTACTTATCCAAACCTGCTGTAATGGGCCTGTTTTCCAAGCCCCAATATAATTCCTTAACATTCCAATAAGTGCTATGTTATAACAGCACAACAAATCTCCTAGTACCAGACTCCTGGTACTAGGATGGGTTAAATGCAGAGAACACATTTCACTGTGTGTGCTCTGCATGTGTGACCATTAAAGGAGGGTTTCATCCCTCTGATTCTATCTATCTATCTATCTATGAGGGACTTAAACTACATAAAGTCGATCCATTAAAAGCTAATTCTGATTAAGAACTGACCGTGACCCATCTCAGTTTGGGCATATGTGCCCAGGGCCTGGAGGGACTCTGCCAGAGGTAACCACTTCCTGGCCTGCTCAGCGTCACACTGGCTGTACAGGGTGGGTAGGAACATGACAAAGTGGAGCCCCAAGGCCTCATGGAAATTGCCTTGAACTGTTCTGGGTGAAGGGAAGGTACAGGAAACAACTTGCGTTCAGACTGGATGTCCCTCACTAAATACATCTGCTGACTCACTTTGTTTGTTCTATGTCTAGGTTTATCTCACTCATGCTACTATAAAATGTAATGCAGTGTTTGAACTGGAGGAATTGTTCGTCCTGTTCCTGTTGTTTAGTTACTCAGTTCAGTTTTACAATGATTTACTCCTCAAGAGGGCAAGCAAAGTGCAAGAGGTGCTTTTGTAATTCACATCTATCCTTTTTACAAGACACAGCATAAACCTACAATATGTTGACAGAAAGCTTGGTAGTTTAGGAACAAAGCACAATGAACATTTAACCAAATCTCTAAAATAACAATATAACAAGTGAGAATCTTTGACATTGCGCGAGGCTGTACACAGTTGACCTTTGACACAGTTTTAATCTTACATTGAACTTTGATCAGCCTACATTTATTTCCCTCTATGCCATACACGCTGATATTTACATAACCTTACAACTTTTCCCCAAAGTGATACAGAATGCAAAGCCTTCACAAATGATTGTTCAGTTTTCTAATGTGCACACCGATGTTCCCTAAAAGTCTCATATACAGGCTGATGCCACGATAGATCATGTTCAGTGAGTTCAAAAATCTGCCTGTAGTATAAGGCTACATCTCTGCATTACGATCGTTGTAGCTCACAGAAACATCACTTATTAAATCCATAACTTCTTTCTGTGGTAACTAGGATTTAGATGTTTTTTGTTTGCGCTTTGTGACAAACAAGAAACTCAACAACCAGCTACCTGTATTTTAAAATGTGAAATGGTAGTATATAAGCCAGGCAATGTTGAATCACATATTTTTCTAGCCTAGTTAGCTAATATATATGATTATTGTTGGGGTTTTTCATTTTAAAATGCATTAGCACCTGCTATAAACATATAGTCCCCTGTAGCTCCTGTGCTGTGCGTTATTGTGAGTCAGTAACTGCATATAATTGCTGTTATAAACATAATAAAGTCTTGTGTGGTGTTTAAAACAAGTATGATAGTTGTCAAATATTAGCCTTCCCTAACCTGAGCCTCCCCCGCTGCCTATGATTGTATAGCATGTAATATGTCAGCCACTGACAAATTGCAAACTCTTGATACTGACAGTATCCAAATAAGGTCATTGAAGTTTGCTTGAGTATAAAAGTATATTCAAATAGTAAAATATTGTAAAATATAGCGTGTGGAAAACAGGATTTCATTGTTCATCACTTCCTTCTATTACATTTGGATTTTAAATGACTAACAATATGCATTTCTTATTTTTGACACTGCCATGTGATAAATGAATATCATTTTATTATATTCTTCATTTATGTTTCTTGATTATTCTAAAATACATGAATACAGATTCTGGTTAAATGCCTGCAGGCATTGCTTGCTAGACAAGATTTTTGTGATAAAAATGGCACATTAGTAAATCTCCTCCAGCTAAAAAGGTTCAATTTGAGGTATTATGAAACACAGTTGTTTCATTTAAGTCAGAGCCCTTCATTTGTAATACTTAAGATCTTTTTTTCCTTCCACTTAACACTTTTCCCATAGGCTTTTTGTGTCCGACTACCCTTGACTGTGTTGAGGCTTTTGTCCGCCAGCTTATCTGGATCTACAGTATGTAAGCCAGACCTCACATGGACTCATCTTCACCACATACTTTTTGTAGCAGTAGATCTCCTCTGGGTCTGCAATGCCATACTCTCTGAGCTTCAGGATCATCTGGGCGCTTTTTCTAACAGCCTGGTCATAGCGGTCACTTCGAGACAGGAAGTTAGGGTCCTCCTCGTTAAAGTCCGGGTCGCTGAAAACCAGTGACTCTACATGGTGGGAATGGAATAAGAAATGTTTATTTAAGTCTACACATTCGCTGTAGTGTGTACAATATATATTTCACATTTTAAATGTAGTGGACATTTTCAAAAGTCCATTAAGAATTTGTGAGTGTGTCCCCTCGTGTGACTCTTTGTACGAAGATTTGTGAGTTTTTTCAAGATTTTTGAAATGTGTAATGAGAAAATAAGTACCGGTATGTAGATTTGTTCAAAAAAAATAAACATGAATTTATAATTCTTCTAAGTGCCTTATAGTTCAAGAACCAACATTTCCATGGTGATCACATTCTTTCTGCTGTACAAGATTTAAGCATCTCAACTTTGAATAGCAATGAATACAATAAAATAAGGACAACTAACAAAATCCTTTTTTTCTGAGGTCAAAAGAGTTTTGCATAGTTTATTTTTCTAAACTGAAGCGGACTGGGTCTCCTTTACTATTGAGTTTGGTGCTTAAACCTGTCCAGACTTCTGTTGTGAGCTCGATGGAACTTGTGAATATGTACATAATTGTTATAGTATTTTAGTTGTACCTTCTGCATATTGTTATTGTAACTTTTCAATTGTATTCCCTTTTAATATGTTTATTGTAGGTAGCAAAGAACAGGGCAAATTCTTTGTACGTAAAACCCTCCGTGGCAACATATAAATATTCTGATTCTGTATAACATGGTCTTCTCAATTAAATAGTTTCAACATGAATATATTTGGGATTTGGACCGTTTTAGACAAAAATAGACTTTTCTAAAGAAGTCAATTTAGACTGTGTTTGGATTCTTTCACATGTTTTGTCGACAAGACAATATTCAGATTAATCTATAATGAAAATTATTATTATTTAAGGTCCTAGTAGGTTTCAATACAACTTTCTGCACAACAATACAACTTTCTGCACATTTAGGTCCAACTAAATGTACAAATAAATGTAAAATGTGAAGAATGAAATAGGGATCTTATCTCAAAACTCACCTGTTCAGATTAGCCTACTCTCTCTACACTACTAAACATCTGGTTTGCTCATTTAAATACTACTGTCATGTCCTTCCACTTCGGTCTGCTTTTTAAATGTCTATTTTGTTTTGTCTACCCTGTATGCATTTTATGTCTTGCTGTTTAGAGTATTTATTTTATTAATTGTAAGGCGACCTTGGGTGTCATGAAAGGCGCCTCGAAATCAACAGTATTATTATTATTATTATTAGTATTAGTATTATTATAAAACATACCATATTTTTTTCTTTGCTACCTACACTGCTAGTATGTTTTGCCTGAAAAAAATAAAGTAGCGTAAAGTTCACTTGTTCAAAAATGGGTGAAAATTAAATTACATAACTGGACTCTAAACTCATATATTTCAGTTTATATAATGAAAAAGTTTAGTTCAGTCTGGACAACTACAACGTAGTGGTTGTAGACAGGAAAGCTATTACTAAACATCCATTGAAATAATTAGCTCCTTTTTCTCCCCAATAAAACTTTCTCAGGAAACATCCTTACCTAATCATCATATAAAGGTGACGGTGTCGAGGTCAATAACACCTGATATTATAGGGCAAAGATGACAGCTTCATGCTACTCCAAAAATGACACTTCAAACTCACCAATCTCTCGCCGTCTTTTGGTCTTTTCAGGCCCCCCGTCCAAAATGTACGTCAGTTTCTCGACGTCAAAGGTGGCATTTTTGCGCTCTCTCGTAATATCAGGATTCATGGTTCGGAATGCGAGTAAAAACAATATGTATATTGAAAAACCTGTTATGTTATGTTAGCTGTGTTGTAGAGCCTCCTGCAACCTCAACAACCTGAAGGGTCCTCCTCACAAGGCCTCTTATTCCCACAACGCATGCGCAGAGAGGAGCGGGGAGGAGGAGACAAGTCATGTGACATGAACCCGGAAGTAGGGTATCCAAACTTTAAAGGCTTTATTGCCATGCTTTATTGTCATTATTCAACCATTTCTGAGTTTTCTTTCCAGTATGCTTCCCGCAGCTGCAGTTTTTCATTTCCCCTGGGAGATAAACAGTGGAGAAGTACAAGAAGGACTGTCAGTAAGAGTACTTGGCAGGTGGGTTTTGTTTCTGACAGATTCAGTTCTTTCTTTCTTTCTTTCAGTTTTCTTATCAGTTGTGATGCTCTGAATGCAAAACAAAATGTGTATTTTGCAACACATTTGTTTGGTACTGTTCACTCTTCTGAATGGGATTAGGAACAGTGGTATTAGTAGCAATGCAGGTTTCAAAAGTGAGATTACATTATTATTTATTTAGATCTGGTGTAAAATAAACTGAATGGAGAAAACGTTTTGCAATCTTAAACATTTCAAAAATATAAAAAGGGGTTTAGGCTGTCTCTAGTGTCTACTGTTCTTTATGGTGGACACAGTGTAATCACCTCCTTGTTCACCTTTTATAAACAGAATAAACCATTTTAAAATTCAAACATGGCCTAAGTCTTCGTACTAAAATCTGAACCCAACATTTAAAAAAGGATTATTGGTGAAAATGCATGCTTAGAATATCTTGTCCTGACCTCAAAGTCTTCCTTATAAAAGAAAGTACACTATGGAAGTACAGCAAAAGTGTTGTTTATGCAGCAGGACGATCCTGTCAGTATTTGATTATTACTGAAATTGGAATTGTTTAGTGTAGTTGTAGCCCGTCAGACTACTTTATGGGGTGCAATTATAATGCATCATAATGTATAAGATGATCCTATTAAATGTAGCCTTCAGATAAAAGAATACATCTTAATACACCTGTTCAATTTTCCAGACTGGTCTGCTATCAGCCTGAGGAGTCCAGAGCCACGCTGTCGGCTCAGCATGCTTCAAAAGAGCACCAAGTGGTCGTCCACACGTTGTTTGTTGAGCCTTTTAACCCAATAATTGGGGCCCAGTATATTGTTCTGGGTGAGATTGAAAATGCTGAGGGTAAGTAAATACTTTGTTATCCATCAAATTATAAATTTGATTTTTATACCAGAGTTTCTGTTTTTCTTGAGTCCATGTATTTTTCAAAAACGAAATTGACTGTCTACCTGGAAGAAGTATAGTGGTAGTATATACTATATGTAGAAATGTAGACAATATAGTGTATGAGTATTATATGATTTATGATATGTTATGGGACACTACATTCACTCTAACAGTGTAAATATATTTATTATTGTATTATACAGCTTAGAGCTATCTTATAGAATTGATGTGTTGAAATAGAGCTAAAATCACAACTCTTTAAATACTTGTGTTTTTTTTATCTCTATTTCAATTACACTCTCATTAATTTCATTGTATCTTGTCATTCGTAACAAAGGAGTCTTGGTCTCTGCATCTTCTCTCCTTATAGGGGTTGGTGCGATGGTCCGTGCCCGTGTGCTAAACTGCGTTGATGGTGTAAACGTCGCCCTTCTACAGAAAGCCACCAATGAGCAAAGGAGCTTCTTCAGGGAGAGGGAGCACACACCGGGTGATAATGAACAACCTGCACATGCAACCTGATCAGGGTCTCCTGACTTTCTAAGGATGCTCGTTGAGTATCAGGACTACTGCTCTGCCTCTGAAGCTGTTTGCTAAGTAAACTTTTGGTTCACTGTAAAAGACTATCTTTTCTCTCTGACCATAACAGGTAGTTCATTCTGGGGTTTGCTAATTGATTATTAAGGCCCCAATGAATGGATTGGCAAGATGGTTTGATGTTTGGTCAATGAAGAAATAAAAGCAACTGTTTTAGATCCATTACTTATGACAGGTGCAATAACCTATGTGTTGAGACATCTGATATTATTTTAATTCTACCGTTTTATATGGTGGGACTGAGCACTTTTTTTTTCATGCTTTGAAAATGGTGTCATGTATTGGTCATGTGAGTTGGATAACATAACTTTGTTCCACTCATTGAAATACAGAGGTGGGAAGTAGTGGAGTAGAAATACTAACTGTACTTAAGTACATTTTTCTGGTATCAGTACTTTACCCCACTACTTATTTTTCTGACAACTTTTTACTTTTACTTCTTACATTTTTAACACAAATACCTGTACTTTCTACTTCTTACATTTTCAAAATATGGCTCGTTACTTTAGTTTTAATCTGCATTTGGTGGTGTGATCATTATTATTTAGAGTCATTGCGTGCCTAGTGATTTTAACAAGATGCATGTATCCATCATTTCCTGGTTTTCTCTAAAGAAGAGGGACCAATGAAAACTGTCATGTTGCCGTTGTTCAGCATCGAAACATTCATTAGCTAACTATGACATTAATGTTCTATTAATATAAAGGGAGGTCTGTTACTTCTATATCTGTATCTGTACTTCTACTTGAGTAAAGGATGTGATACTTTTGCCATCTCTGTTAAGTTTAAAAATGTATACTGAATTATAAATGCTAAGCAATCCAATTGAGCACATTGTACTAAGTAAATATATAGGATATCCAAATAGGATGAAGCTGGTATTACATTAAAAGTAAACGATTAATACCCGTTGTACCTGCCTGTGTCTTCTTAAAAAACTGCAACACAACACTGAAGGTCCATGCTTTTTAACGATTATAATTTAATTTATTGATATTTGTTTCTTCATAAAGTATCAAACAAGATTGAGTTTAAAGTCAACAATGTCAAGGATAACCAATGAGTAATACAGAATCAAATCAATCTTTGTAATTAGCATTGCACCATGTCCCAGTATCCCTCATAACATAATAATATCAAAGATAAACTGAATTTATATTCTCTGTTTTTAAATAAAATTAAAAAAACACATCAGCCCACATCAGATATGTTTGGTAAACAAAGGCAACACAGCAGCAAGCATTTTGGCTAGTGAGAAAGCATTGCATTAAAAGACTTTTCCTGAGTCAAAATGTACATTCTAATTATAATATCTAATAGCAGATTTTTTTATCACATCACTCCACAGATCAGATGACTCCAACTCTGTTGTAAACACATCTAGAATCTTGCATATCTAGTAGATTTGTCACCAGAATCTTTAGAGGAGGCAGGCAGCATTGGTAGGCCTGAGACGGGGTCTTTCTTACAGCTATCCAGAGCTTGTTTGTAGTTGATATTCTTCTTTGTGATTGGGTCTACAATATCCTTGATGTATGTCGTCTCAGCCTGCAGCTCCCTCATCATTGTGCTGTCGATCATTTTGGACCCAATGGCATCAAAGAGGCTCATTCTGCTGCCGGTAGTGGGATTGACCAGCCCACCCGTCAGGTGCTGTGCCTCCATGTAGCGGATGGCCGTGTCCTTGGGCATCCAGCCTTTCTGTACAGCTTCTCCCACGGACAAAACCTCTCTGGTCATGGGGTCTTCAACACCAGTGAAGGCCTTTTGTGCATTGAGTAGCCTCTGGACTTGACTGTCCTCAATGAGGCCTCTTGATGTTGCCTTCTGAACTGTGTACCTCTGATTGTTGCTTATGTCGATGATGCCCCCTGTTGATGCCTGTGCCTCCAGAAGTTTGTGGGCGGTTCCGGAGTCAATCAGTTTACGCAAGGTGGCGCTGCGAATTGTAAAGCAGGTGTCAGTGTTTGTGTCTATTACTCCAGCAACTGGGTAGATTTCTTTAGCGGTGGAGAGGTCCCGGGGGGCTGACTTCACTGTTGTGGAGGTTGTGTGGGTGATTGAGTTGAACTGGGGTGGCTTATTGCTATCACCCGCAACCAGCAAGGCAAACTCTGAGATGGGCATCTTGCCTTTTTTATACTGTTGTAGATCATACTCTGTCAGGCGGCCTTCCTTCAGGGCATCTTTGATTGGGTACTGCTTTCCACTTTTGCGATCTTGGAGTACAGATGTCTCCCCATCAGGTCCCAGGGAAGTAATCTCCTCCCAGTCACACTCCAGCTCCTGCAGGTTTATGTACTGTTGACGATCAATCAGGCCCTGCATGTAGGCGTCATAAGGGGACATGTCTTTGCCTGTATCTGGATCCAGAATGGTGATTTTGGTAGACACGTTGGTCTCTTTGGTCCTTGTCTCTGCTTGTTCCTCTTTCTGCACGCTCGTCAGGAGCTCCCGCATCATGCTGTCTCGCTGATGGATTCTGTCTTTTTCTTCCAGGATCTCCCTCTCCAGACGTAGAGCATCAGAATCCATCTTAACGCTCTTCTGCCTTCCCATCTGTGATCTTTCACTAATCAGCCTGCTTTGCTGCTGGAAAGACAAGCTGATGTCATGTCTTGAGGCTTCGAGGGTCCTGAGTTCCCGAGTGAGGTTTTCTTTCTCCCTCTGAAAGACATCTTTGTTCGAAACAAGAGTGGATTCCTCTCTTGAAGAGCTTGATTTTCCGCTCATCAGAAGGTTGATTTTATCGTTGACACGTCTGATTTCCTCTTCAAGGTCTTGTCTGTCAAATCTTTGCTGAGACACCTGTTCCCTCAGGCGATCCCTCTCGGATTCAACTGCCTGGTCTTTCTCAACACGGATAATCTCTTTGTACACTGTCTTCTCACCAGACTTTTCCCTCTGCAGGATTTCTAGTCTATGAGTGATGTTACGGATGTCTCTCTGGATGCGCAGAATATCGCTGGTTTGCTTATCCATGTCTGACCGAACACCGTTTGTCATCCTCTCCAGTTTTGGGTCTCTTTCAACCTTCAGTACTTCCTCAACAACAATACATTCCTCAACGGGAGGGGGGGCATTTTTAAGATATGTGATGCGCAGTCGGATCTCTCTGAGTTCAAACTCAGCTTGAACCCTCTTTTGGTGCTCATCACTCTCTCTGAGGGTCCTCTGTAACTCTTCCACCTTGGTCGTCAGCTGCTGCATCTCGAGGTTAACCTGGCGGCGGGTCATTACTTCGTCATC